AGTGAGGTGGCCCTGAACAGAGAGTTACAGGGAAGGAAAAACCGCGGACGCGGACTTCATCATTTGTCGTGATATCGTAGATATTACTTTTTGATGTATTTTTTAATTCTGTTGTTATATTATTTATTATTATTATTACGATTATTGTTGTTGTTGTTGTTTATAGAAGTTTGCTTGAGGCATCCGAGGAGGGGAAAATTATGCGATGGGGAGGAATGCCATGTGACGTGACATAGATCCGGTGTACGACCTGGTGTTAACCGTTTCTCACACGTCGCCGAGCTAAGCCCCGGGGGCAGGTGATTAACCACCTCTTCGAATGTGACGTTTGGCACCTGAGGTGGTGGGCGCGCTGTGAAAGAAGCCGCAGCGAGTACGTCTTCCACTCTGCCTCTGCCCTTTCGCCAGCGCCTGGTCGTGTTGCGCACTCTTAACTGCCTTTTAATTTTGCGCATAAAAGGCAGATATGATGAAGTAGAAGTTAATTGGTATTTTTAATGTTTTTTCATGTTTCCAGTGGTGCTTTATACGCAATTATACGTCATGTTTCCACCGTTCTTCCGGAGGTGGTCATCGGCGTTTTTACTATCCCGTCCCCTCATGCGCTCCCACCCAATGGTTCTCCTTCACCTTGGGGTGCCTGCAGGTGGACTTGTATTACAATGGTTTTTGCAACAGCGTGCTGTGGCAGCTGTTCCATTACGTACCGCTGAACATTGACACGTGGCAGAAGATGGCGGAGCACAAGACCATGCAGCTGCAGTGGCAGGCGTACCAGGTAGGGGAAAGAGAGGAAAGGGGGGCTGTACAAAGTGCAGAGAAGAGTCATAAAGAGTTTTAGGGGGTTTGCGATTGCCAAAGAGTCGGGTTTGGGCCATATCTCTCCCTCCCCTGCCTGCCTGCCTTCTTCTCCGCCGCCCTTCACCTTCACCACAAACCTCCGACCCCTCGTTGAGATGGCGACCCAATCTCATCGCCGGATTGGTGAAATCCCCGTCCTTCTGCCAGGCGGCAGCTGATTTGTTATTTTGCCTTCATTTTTTTCCTTTGCGATTTTGCTTCTTCTACTTCCCTTTCCTCCCTTTCCCCCACTCACCCACGACCCCTCAATTCGGTTCTCTCTCTCTCTCTCTCTCTCTCTCTCTCTCTGGACCCCTAGGCGGCTAATGAGAAATTCGCAGATGTGGTACTGGAGGAGTACCAGCCCACCGACGTGGTGTGGGTCCAGGACTACCACCTCATGGTGCTGCCCAGCCTCCTCAAACAAAATGTGCCCAAGGTACGCTCTCTATCTCTATCTCTCTCTCTCGCACGCGCGTGTGTGTGGGGGTGGGTGTGCGGGTGTGGGTGTGCGTGTGCGTGTGCGTGTGTGCGTTCACGGAGGAGGAGGAGGAGTCCACCAGCCCACCGGTGTCCCCATAATTGCACACTTCAAGGACATCACCATCATCAGCAGCAGCAGCAGCCACCGTACCTGCGGGTTGTGTGGGTTGTGGCTCTGGGGGGAAACACAGGGATAATCTTACTCGTCCGGCATGCCCCGCCACAGTCAGGCCGGCAGAAGACCATCAAGACCGTAATGAGTACCGTTGCGGCGCGCAGCGGCGGTACTCGCAGCAATTCATGACAACCCCAACCCCCCCCCCCCCACACACACACACACACAATGTATGCTCATGGGTGCGTTTTGATTTTTAGGAAGCCAACAATGGCTCACGGATGAGATGGCCAGATCTGGGAGATGTATGTATGTATGTATATATGTTTGTTTGCTTGCAGATGAAGGTTGGCTTCTTCCTGCACACGCCCTTCCCTTCCTCTGAGATGTACCGCACACTGCCAGTGCGGGAGGAGGTGAGACCGCGGGGGGAGGGGGAGGGGAAGGGGGAATAGCGTGTGTGTGTATGTGTTTGTGTATGTGTATGACGCAAGAAGGGGGTTTGCCACGGTGTGGTGGTCCGGGGCGCTGAGGTCCGCGGGTCGCAGAGGGCCCACGTGGACCCAAGCATCATTATACCCCACCGCCGCCGCCGCCGGCTCTAGACTGCTGGATTCCGCAGTAGGCCCCCGGGTTGCAGGGGTTCCCCTGCAGTCCGGGGCCCTACCTACGTTCCCCCCTAGTAGTAGTAGTTCCCCACTGCTGCTTTCTTCCACCTCTTTGAACTGACTTTGCATCTTTCTGATCACCGCCGTGGTCCTGGACCTCAGTGTAATATTAGTCACCTCCGCCCCTCTCTCTCTCGGAGCTTTCCCATCTCCCTTCTTTGCTGTAGATTACTGCTTGTTTTATTGTTTTGTTGATGGGATGGGGGTGTTACACTGTGGGGGGCGGCTCTCGTCCCGAGAAAGGACCGAGAGCACCGTCGGGGGCCCCCGGACCGGGGCCCCGAAACACAGCGCAGGGGCGGGCGCGCCCGGCGGCTCTACGTCCTGTTACTGTTGCTGTTTATGTTACTGTTT